GGAGAATGTAAAAAAAAAAAAAAAAAAAAAAAAAGGCATTCTCTCAACTGTGTCCCTCCCTCCACAACCAAAATATCTTAATTTTGCTAAAGAATGAAGTATAAATTTTTACTTTTAAAACTAATTTGAAGAGGTGGGCAGGCGTATCTCTCATGCTAGAGCAGAGGACGGCTTTCTGCAGTGATGCAGTAAATAGTAACCTGTTCAAACAGCCATAATCAAGAACTGTGAGAGGGACTATTAGTCATTTCTGCCCACATTAATTTAACTCTCTGGCATATTACTATTTTGAACAAAGGCCCAAATTCCTGAGACCCCATGATACATATCTTTTTTTCTTACTCTTTTCACTCTTGGATGCTCTAAATTCAAAAGCCTGCACCCATACAGATTGTACAGCCATTTAAATCTGTGGCTTTTCTTTGAAATATTCTTTCAATGATTCCTTTGAATCATTGAGTGGAGTTCAGGCCAAGCTTTCCTAATTTATTCTTTCATTTACGTTATTACAGGGATTGAGAGCAAAAAATATTCTAAATACTGCAAAAAGGAAAAAGTCCCTCAGAAACAATCACATTCATTTTGATTTTTTAGTATAAACAAAATCCTTTCATTAATTTTTACTTAAACAACTGCATTGTTTCGCATAAAAAACTGGCAGTCTTCAAACACAGAAGAAAACTCTTCTCACATTTCAAAAGGGATTAAAAACTGACACCACAGAAGTACAAAAGATCATAAGAGATAACTACAAGCAACTATATGCCAATAAAATGGACAACCTAGAAAAATGGACAAATTCTTAGAAAGGTACTATCTCCCAAGACTGAACCAGGAAGAAAGAGAAAATATGAACAGACCAATCACAAGTACTGAAATTGAAACTGTGATTAAAAAACTCTCAACAGCAGAAACTAACACACCATTGTAAAGCAATTATACTCCAATAAAGATGTTAAAAAAAAAAACACAACAACTCTCAACAAACAAAAGTCCAGGACCAGATGGCTTCACAGGCGAATTCTATCAAAGATTTAGAGAAGAGTTAACACCTATCCTCCTGAAACTCTTCCAAAAAGCTGCAGAGGAAGGAACACTTCCAAACTCATTCTATGAGGCCACCATCACCCTGATACCAAAACCAGACAAAGATACCACACAAAAAAAGAAAATTATAGGCCAATATTATTGATAAACATAGACGCAAAAATCCTCAACAAAATACTAGCAAACCGAATCCAACAATAAAAGGATCATACACCATGATCAAGTGGGATTTATCCCAGGGATGTAAGGATTTTTCAATATCCACAAATTGATCAGTGTGATACACATCAACAAACTGATGAATAAAAACCATATGATCATCTCAATAGATGCAGAAAAACCTTTTGACAAAATTCAACACCCATTTATGGTAAAAACTTTATAGAAAGTGGACACAGAGGGAACCTACCTCAACAAAATAAAGGCCATATATGACAAACCCACAGCAAACATCATTCTCAATGGTGAAAAGCTGAAAACATTTCCTCTTAGATCAGGAACAAGACAAGGATGTCCACTCTTGCCACTTTTATTCAACATAGTTTTGGAAGTCCTAGCCACGGCCATCAGAGAAGAAATAAAAGGAACCCAAATTGGAAAAAAGAAGTAAAACTGTCACTGTTTCCAGATGACATGATACTATACATAGAAAAGATGCTACCAGAAAACTACTAGTGCTCATCAATGAATCTGGTAAAGTTACAGGATACAAAATTAATACACAGAAATCTGTTGCATTTCTGTACACTAACAGCAAAATATCAGAAAGAGAAATTAAGGAAACAATCCCATTTACCATGGCATCAAAAAAGAATAAAATACCTAGGAATAAACCTATCTAAGGATGCAAAAGATCTGTACTCCAAAAACTATAAGATGCTGATGAAAGAAATCGAGGATGACACAAACAGATGGAAAGATATACCATGTTCTTGGATTGGAAAAATCAATATTGTCAAAATGACGATTCCACGCAAGGTAACTTACAGATTCAACACAATCCCTATCAAATTACCAATGGAATTTTTTCTTTGCAGATCTGGAACAACAAAATCTTAAAATCTGTATGGAAACACAAAAGACCCTGAATAGCCAAAGCAATCTTAAGAAAGAAAAACAGAGCTGGAGGAATCAGGCTCCCTGACTTCAGACTATACTATGAAGCTACAGTAATCAAAACAGTACGGTACTGGCACAAAGACAGATTTATAGATCAGTGGAAGAGGATAGAAAGCCCAGAAATAAACCCATGCACCTATGGTCAATTAATCTATGACAAAGGAGTCAAGAATATACAATGGAGAAAAGACAGTCTCTTCAATAAGTGGTGCTGGGAAAACTGGACAGCCACAAGTAAAAGAATGAAATTAGAACACTCTCTAACACGATACACAAAAATAACCCTCAAAATGGATTAAAGACCTAAATGTAAGACTGGATACTATAAAACCCTTCGAGGAAAACACAGGCAGAACACTCTTTGACATAAATCGTAGAAATATCTTTTTGGATCCACCTCCTAGAGTAATGAAAATAAAAACAAAACTAAACAAATGGGATCTAATAAAAACTTAAAAGCTTCTGCACACACAAAAAATACCATAAACAAAATGGAAAAACAACCCACAGAATGGGAGAAAATATTTGCAAACTGTGTGACCAACAGGGGATTAATCTCCAAAATATACAAACAGGTCATGTAGCTCAATATCAAAAAAACAAACAACCCAATCAAAAAATGGGCAGAAGATTTAAATAGACATTTCTCCAAAGAAGACATACAGATGGCCTAAAAGCACATGAAAAGATGCTCAGCATCGCTAATTATTAGAGAAATGCAAATCAAAACTACAATGAGGTATCACCTCACACCGGTCAGAATGGCCGTCATCAAAAAGTCTAACATACAATAAATGCTGGAGAAGGTGTGGAGAAAAGGGAACCCTCCTACACTGTTCGTGGGAATGTAAATTGGTACAACCACTATGGAGAAGAGTATGGAAGTTCCTTAAAAAACTAAACACAGAGCTACTTTATGAGCCAGCAATCCCACTCCAGGGTATATACCCAGAGAAAACCACAATTTGAAAAGATACTTGCACCCCAATGTTCACTGCAGCACTGTTTACAATAGCCAAGACATGGAAGCAACCTAAGTGTCCAGTGACAGAGGAATGGATAAAGAAGATGTGGTACATATATATAATGGAATATTACTCAGCCACAAAAAAGAATGAGATAATGCCCTTTGCAGCAACATGGATGGATCTAGAGATTATCATACTAAGTGAAGTAAGTCAGAGAAAGACAAATATCATATGATATCACTTATATGTGGAATCTAAAAAAAGTGACACAAATGAACTTATTTACAAAACAGACACAGACTCACAGACTTTGAAAACAAACTTATGGTTACCAAAGGGGAAAGGTGCGTGGGTGGGAGGGATAAATTAGGAGGTTGGGATTAACATATACGCACTGCTATACATAAAATAGATAATCAACAAGGACCTACTGTATAGCACAGGGAACTCTACTCAGTACTCTGTAATAACCTATATGGGAAAATAATCTGAAAAAGAATATATATATGTATATGTATAACTGAATCACTTTGCTGTACACCTGAAACTAACACAACACTGTAAATCAACTATACTCGAATATAAAATATTAAAAAATAAAACAAATGCTAGCTAGCATTTAGTTCAGTGAATAATAAAGCAATATTATTTCTTATTTGCATAGTTCAAAGGGAAATCTGAAAATTGTCTAGTTCCTCTAAATCGTAAATATCTTAAGGTGACCTTTTTGACTTGAGCCATGTGACCTGGCTGTTCGAGCCAGGTATCTGTCATGTGCCAAATTCTCACTTCATTTTGCGATATGTGGATTATAGTTCTGATGTTTAATGCCCAAACCAACAAAAACTATGAAACTTTACCTGTGATTCAAGTAAATACAATCAGCACCTTTCAAGACAATGTCCCCTAACTTGCTATCAACTTTCTCCTCTCAGGTAGCCGTATGTGAAAACTGAGATGCCAGAGGCAGAGGTGTTTCAGAAAGACAAAATCCTATATGCCTGGACAGATTTACCTGTTAATTCTAGAAAACCTGGGTCTTGAAAGCATTTATCAGGTAGGGTAGGTATAGGACCTTCTTAAATCTGTATGCTGAACTTTGAATTCTAGAGTATAACTAATGACGTCTAAAGAGTTTGGGACGATCGCTGGAAGGATGGGAGGAGAAATGGGTCCAGTAATTGAGCCAAGACATTAACCATGGAAGCAACAGAACAGTCTACTGCAACCATTTCCTTCCATGTATTCACTGCCCCTTCCTAAGCTGAATGAAAGAAGCTCCAGAGGCATCACGTACTCCTTAAAACACCAAGAAAGTCATTTCCAATGATCACTGAATTTGAACCACCTATTGCCCAGTAGCAGAACGGTGGAAGGGTAGAAGTGGTGGTGGGGGGGGAGGCACCAGAGCGATGAAGAAAACAGGTATCTTCTCTACTGAACGTTAACATATTTTACAATTGCCATAGATGGGTTTTCCTGAAGTTCCTTTGTGGAAGTGAAGAATTCATTGGTAAAAACTCCCTACTTGTGAGGGAGTAGATTAAGGAATCTTTAATACCAAATCCCCGGGAGCCACAAGCATTTAGTGGATGCTCAAACAGGTGGGTGAAGAGGAGCTAGAGGAATCGGTCGCTGCTTGCCTGGGGCACATGGCCACGGCAGATAAGTGAAAACTGTTTAATTAGAGTACGGACACCTTGACTTGATCTACGAGCCAGACAGAGGGTCACTGATCTCTCTTTTTTCTTAACTCATTGTTCTGTAACAGGTACTAACCAGGGGTTCTGGCAGAACCAATTCACTTGTTTCTCTGTTCTCCCCAAGTGGAAAAAGACACAGACAGACAGACTTCCCCCAAGGTACCTGCAGAAGGATCTTGTTCCCATCGTGGTCCTCCGTCTGCCAGCGTCCCTCACTGATGGGCCTGCAGGGGTTGGGCAAGAGAGGCACCAGCTCGCCAATGTCCTTGACTCGGAACTCCAGCACGGAGGAATCAGTGGGGACCGGGGTCTGGTCACAGGGAAGTCTCTTCAGGGAGAACTGGATGTCCACATCCAGACTGGAGAAAATGGGGAAGATGCAGAAGTCCGTTTTCCTCTGGCTGGGGCTCCGCCTGAGTATCAGCTCGTAGAACTTGAGGATGTCGGCGTAGTTGTCATGGCGACAGTAGATGGTGAAGCGCACGATTTCCTTGCCGTAGTGCACAGGCCGGATGGCCCACAGCGGTGTCCCAGGGGCCAGAGTGAAGAACTCCTGGCTGCAGGGCAGGTAGGGCAGAAACCTGCTAGGCACGCGCTCCGTGTGGTGATGGCGCCAGGGCGGCCGCTGCAGCGTGCGGTGCAGCTGCAGGATCTGCTCCTCGCCGTACTCCTCCTGCAGGAAGAGGACCACCGCCAGGGCCGGCTGCGCCACCTTGGGGGTCTTCCTCCGCCGCCGGGACGCCCTCCTCTCAGAGACCCTGAACAGCTGGAGGTCTGGGTGGATCCAAGCCAAGACCTTGTCGATGGCCTCCTGCAGGGGTCGCGATTCCCCTGGGTCCGCGATTATGTGGATGCTGACCAAGAAAGGGTCCTGCGCTTCCTCCGCGGAGAGCTCACCTAGCAGCACAAAACAAAACCCAAGAAACAAGTGGTGACTATTTCATTGAGGGGTCCCGTGATAACATGCAAGGCTTCGGGCAGGAAGAGAAGCTAAATTTTAACTGAATGGACTCCTTGATTTGAAATTCTGATCCCAAGCTCACGTGCAAATACTACTGTTGCAGCACCCTGGCAGCCCCAAACTCAAGGACTATTACTCACACTGGTTCCCAGGCTGGGCGCTGTCAGGACAACCTTGGTGTGGTGCTTCATCAGATTGAGTGTATTTTCTCCTGAACAGCACAGAGTCAAGTCTCCACGGGTTTGGAAAGGATAGCAGGGCCATTAGGGAAGATGGTGTAGCACTAAGTGCACACCATTTAGAATTTCCTCAGGTAACTGCAGTGCCTTCCCCCACAAATGGTCCCTATATCATTGCACTTCTTTGGTTTGCTTATTTCACTGGTTTGTTCATCGGTTTGTTCATTCATTTAACATTTATGGAATCCTTTCTTCACCAGGCACTTACTCTAATTGACACATCAAGCCCTGGCTCGTGAGGCATCCTGCCAACTGTGTCCTGATGGTAGGGTGGCCGGGTGGTGACCATCTTGCTGCTCGAGACACAGGGAAGAACGACCCAGCGGGGAGGGGGGCGAGCACCGTGTTCTTGCTGTCAGAGCTTCGAGGGGCTGTGGTTAGGGGTGGGGTGACGCATGGTCGGACCATCATTGCCTGTGTCCTGCTGCCTTTTGGGCCCCTCCTCAGGCCATGTCCACCCCGAAGCCCACACGTCCTGATTGGGTCAGTCCCCTCCCCGTGTCCTCTGGCAGAACAGCGAATTCCAAGTGTGAAGGTGACCATTTACCTTGGCAACCTTCTCCCATGGTGTGAACAGTTTGCCAGCCACAATGGCATATTTCTACTTTAAAAATATTCAGCGTATTTCATCAAGTAACCTGATAAAAGGCTTGTTCTTGTTCATGATGGCTCCTCTTGCATTTATTTAAGTTGTATGACCATCCAAGGGAAATCAAGGAAACTAAGTCTATTGTGACTTGGAGGGCAAGATTCATCTAGAATCTAGACCTGTCTCCACACACATGCCTCACGATGTCCGCTAGGCTATCAGGCGCAGGGCGATCATGGGGTCGGTAACGTTTGAGAAACATGATGTGCTTTTAGGAACCATCACCTTGATCAGTTTGCAGGATGAAAGGTGATTCTTTTGTAGTTAAACAAGACATTCCAAGTGGGTTTACAGGTACATTTCATCACAAGCACCTATGATAACATGGTCTTCATTTTGCTGGAGCAAAATGTGTCTGAATTTGCCTTCGAACCCTGACTGTTAAATATCTCACTTGGGAACAGTTAGCTCAGTTTCTTGTTGCCTTCTTTCTCCTTCACTCATTCCCCCACACATTTCTTGAGCAATCAATATGTACCAGGCACTGGGAGACAAGGAAGCTGGCACCATGACCACGGGGGAGTCCATTTACATAGACTCTGGCGTGACTAGTGCCCCCTTAGAGTTGTACAGTGTATGACCTGCATAGCCACAAGCAGCAGCCATAAAGAACCATAAGCCACAAATGAGAACTTCATGACTTAGCTGGGAAACACCGACATAAAGATTAAAATTCAATCTGATATAAGTCGATAGGAAATATGATAGAGTAGCATCTTAGGTGGAGGGAAGATTCTAAAGTCACCATGACATAAACATTTACTATAGACACTGTTACCACTGATAGTCCCTTGAATTTCCAGGATAGAACTGGAAGGTCCTGATTTGCAACAAGACCACACATCCAGATAGATGCTTCTTTGGTTGAACAGCAGATGAAATAAAGGCTTGCTGCCTGGCTGTTATAAAAGAAGAGTCTTGTATCATTAAACACTAGACCCCCGCTCAGTGGGCTGTGCCTTTTATGCTACAAGAGGCTTTCAGGAGCTGAAGAGTATTCTGAAACCAAAGGATGAGTAAGGTAACAGCAAAGTCAAGTCTCAGTACTCCCACAATCACGGAGTAGAATGGTGGGTGGAATTATTTAAGCTCTGCCTCTCTTTCTCCCTCTGGCTGAGCATGTATTCTCGAATTGCTATGAGTTAAGTATGAACACGATGCAATTTCAGTTTACTACCACATCACAAAGGAAGGAGCAATTTTTTCCCCAGAGGGCTTCTGAGAGGGCTTTCTGGAAGATGCTCCAGGTGAACTGGGTCTTGAAGGATCGATGATATCTCACTTACAATAACCTCAAATATGGGGGGGAGATCACGGCAGGAAGAGGGAAGACTGTTTATGAAGGCACAGAGCTGTGTGAAAAACAAGCACATTTGGAAAGGGGTGGTGAGTAATTCTGAAACATGGCAACAGATACAGCAGGAAAAATGGATTGGAGCCAAGCCGTACAGGTCTTCAGCTCAATCTGGCAGTGATAAAGGGCAGTGGAAATTTTTAATAAAGGGATGCTGGGATCAAATCAGGGGCAGTTGGCTATAGGCAAAGCAAGAAGTTAGAAGATGAGTGCAGAGTCTAGGTCACGGTAACAAGGACGTGGGAGATTGCATTATTGGTCCTGATTCTTTATCTTACCCTGTCACCTTGCTCTCTGCCACGTGGCTTGGTAGTTCCTTCCACTAAATGGCTGTAGTGCATTTCCCCACCCTTTGACTTCAAATGAGACCGTACGCCTAGCTTTGGCCAACAGAAATAGTGGCATGAAATTCTGGCTTGTTTCTTGTGCTTCTAACGTTTCCATGAGAAGAGCATGCTCGGGCCGGCCCACTGGGGCCAGAAAGGAGTATGAGGGCAACGTGGACCCGAGCCAGCCTAGCTGAGCCAAGCCTCCATCAGCCAGGCTCAAGACACTCAAAGACACCCAGCAGATCTTGGTCTGGAGCAGCTGACCCAAGACACATGGGAAATGATAAATGACTGCTGTTTTGAGCCACTGCTTGGGGTTGGCTCAAAACACACAGCGACACTTTCAGTGCGTGTACAGAAGAGGGCTAGTCTCACAGGCTATTTAGGAAGCATGTGGAGCCCACAGGCCTGGAGATAGGAGCAAGAAAAGCAGGAGAGGAGTTGACCTTGATGTTTCTGGCTTGAGCAGCTCATCTGATGTTGATGCTTAACTGAGACAGAAAACAGAGGAAGAAGGGAAGGTTTGTGGGGAAAGATAAGGAGATCCACTTTGGCCATGCTGGCTTGTGATGCCCGATTGACTTCCAGGAGGGATGTCCTGTTGGCAACTGGACCTGTGTGTTGCTGAGGTGATGTGCTGAACTTAAGCATGGACCAGTTACCTTTCGGCCACATTCCCGCTTTCATACAGTTATCTCGTGTGTGCCCTGTTTTGATATGAACCAGTGAAAATTCATCTTGGTGGCTTAAAAAACAATTGGAATTCATAGATTATTCTGGTCCTTTGCTTGCTCTTTCAGCTCACCTGGCTACTTTCTGTTTCACTGAACACAAGCACCACTATCAGCAGAAGTGAGAGTAGTGAAAACACAAACCAATGACATTTCCTGCCAGTCAGTAGCTCCAGTGATGGCAGGAGATACCACAGTCGCCTACGATGGATATTTCACTTTTCTATGGTGCCCTGATCGCCCACCAGTGGAGACGTGATTTCACTAAACAGTTGTGAATGCTCACTATAAATGGAAGGGGTAGAAAGGCTTTGAATAATCTGGGGATGAAGACATTCACTTGAGAAAATTACCGACGATTTCCATGAGGGGAAAAAAGGACACGTGGAGTAGCAAGAGTGTTTGGGAAAGGAAGCTGTCAGAGCATCAGCCGGTCTCATGAAGATCCTAACCCCACACTCAGCGTGTGTGTGGCCATGGACGTGGGGTGATGCTGCTGCGTGACACACAGATGACATTCACTGGGGGTCAGTGTTCTACGTGTACGAGCTCATGGGATCCTCACAACAAGCCCAGAAGTCGGGGGAGGGCGGCGCGGGGAGGGTCGCTCCCCTTGTCCTCACTTCAGAGTGCAGGATACTGAGGCACAAAGAGGTGAAGGAACCTGCCGAGGGCACAGAGAGCGTGAGTGGGCAGGCACCTGGCTATGGCATGAGGTCTGTGCGCACAGTTCCCCCGCGGCTCTGCACAGAAGCACTTGTTTCCCAGCCCAAGGGGCAGCTTTCACTCTCCAGCCATTTCTGGCCTCGCTTCTGATTGGCTGGCTTCTCAGCCACCAGTCCATAGCTTCCGGTCATGGACACCCCTTTACATCTCTTTCTTCTGGCCCTGGGTCTCTGAGGAAGACTGTCAGAAACCGCCTCCCTGATGCCACAAGCCCAGGTCTTTGCACGTGAGCGCTGCCCTCAAGGGGAAGTGCAGGGCAGCACTGTAGGTGGGCACGACAGTGACAGAAAAGCAGGAGAGTGACAAGGGAAAGCAGACGGGTGTGAGAGGCCTGGGTGAGAAGAGGCCCGGGGTAAGTCAGCTTCTGAGTCTCCGAGACAGAGTTGTCAGGGTGCTCAGTCGGCCACCTCTATGGGTGGCACAAAGGTTTCCCAGGGAGCAGTAACAAAGGCCATGCAGAAGCCTGCATGGCTGAGTGGATGTTTACAGCTTTGCAAAAGGGCAAGATGCCCAGCTTCGGAGCAGGGAGGGGGCTGAAAGGCACTCGACCAAGCACGGCTCACCCGGGATGCAGCCCTGATCAAGCAAGCAAGGAGGACGAAGACCCGACCCCAGAGCTCCCTTTTCACCGTGTGAACCACAGACACGTAAGCGGCTAATATCCTGCCGCTGAGAAGAGCCGGGGAGGAGTGAGTGGTGGCATTAGTGTGCTCTGGCCATCGCCAGCGTATGCCCACTGCATGTGACCCTGAAATAAACAGGCTCAAAGGGGCACAGAATGCAGCCCCACACCATCACCGTCATCGGGTGCTGGGGTTACGCACGCCCACAGCAAACCTGCCTCCGTGGAGCTAGACAGGACGCCAAGTGTTTGAGGGGATGAAGAGAAAATGTGAATAATTAATTGA